CCTCTTTCTCACACACACCCCAACTGGTTGACGGGGTTTCCCTTTGGGGAGGTGACTCGGTGACTGCGGAGATCATCTGCCAAGATCCCTTTGGCCAGCTGCGGGGCCTTTTCCAGATATCTGTGTATTTGTTTTCTGTCTGAGGCGTGTCTGGGATGAACACATTCGGAAATCGGGAAAGGTGAACGCCAAACTGGAGAAAGTTAATAATGGCTGCTAATGGCTCCTAACAATTCAGGCTGAATCTTGTCAAAAGTTTTTTTTCTTTTTTTTCCCCTCGACCCCCCCCCCTTTCAATTGATCCTTCTTCTCGTTCTCCTTCTTCTCCTTCTGGAAATCTCAGCCTTTTGATTGTGTGTTTCCTGAAAGCAAGGCCAATCATTTCAGTTTATTCACTGGCTAAACTCGACTTGATTGGGGACAAGCATACAAACCACCCATTACGATGTGATATATTATCCAAACAATTTAGTGTATTCATGAGGTAACCTAAATGTGGAGGCTGCAAAATTACCCGTAATCAATTGAAACAGCGAGTGCGCGTCCCTCTGGGTGTCTAACAACTGCAACCCTCTCCGTAATAAGGGAGGCATTAAATCATTTTAGAGTTGCACTGTTGAGTATCTGATCATTGGGGCGCGGGGAAGCTGGACACTCGCACTAGGACGCTGGGATTGAGGAAGCCGCCGATTTCCTGCCTCTCCCACAGAAGAACCGGCTCTCGCCTTCGAGGGATTCGCTCGTTACTCACCGAACTGACCCTACGCTGGGCGATATTCAGCGCGGATTTCTCTTCTTTTCCTCCCCCACCCCTCAGCCCGCGCCTCCTTTTTTTTTTTTTTTACTTAAAAAAAAAACCCTACACCATATTGCACTACATGTTTGGGAAACAAGACAAAATGGACGTTAGATGCAATTCAGAGCTCGAAACCAACCGGCTCTCCAAGAACGGGCATAAAGAAGGCAAGGAAAGCAAAAGCTCCGAAGGAAATATTTCGAATTCTTTTTTGAAGGAACCGCAAGGGACTTTTTCGGCTTCGGGCGTCTCGGAAGATTGCAATAAAAATAAATCCAGTTCCGCTGACCCGGATTATTGCAGAAGAATATTAGTCCGAGGTAGGACTGTCGCTTTACGTTCTGAAATTTCGATTAATGAATTCTTCCCGCCCGCTTGCTTGCTTTCCTTTCGTTTTTACTTTCGGTTTTTGTTTTTTGTTGTTTTGGTTTTCTTCGTTTCAAAATCAGATGAATGTCTGAGGTTTCCTAATTCTTCATTCTTTTTATCTCTTTCATCCTGTTATTGATCTGTTTCTCAAGTCTACGAATATTTTTGCAATCTGGGTTGCCAAGAACCGGAGGGCTCTAAGTTCCAAACCTTACATTTCGGCTGGGGCGGGGTGTATAAAGATCAGGTTTTCTTTTTCTAGGTACTTCTCAAATGTTCAGGGAAGGGAAAGCTAAGATCTACATTGCTTGTGTTTCTTCCCTAGTTTACCTTTGCTTTAAGGGTGTGAAAGGTTACTAAGTCTTTTTTCAATCCCATTAGATTCAGCCTGCAATTCTTTGACCACTTGCCTTGGAGTAAGACCCACTGGATTCGCTAGAACTTATTTCTCCATAGGAGTTTTCACTCTCAGCCCTTTGCAAAAGACTGCTTCTTTGAAATATCTCCCCCGCCCTCCCAAAAAGAAAAAGGGGGGGGGAACCACCTCCAGTTCCTATGGTTTAAGGGTAAGCAAAAAGAAGAGACTGAGGAAGAAAAAGAACCTTTGGAGATTTTTTAAGAAATGCTTCTCTTATTTTCAGTCTATCATGTTTGTCCCATTCTTTGATTTCCATCAGCATGAAATTCTTTCTAGTCTGAGGACACAGCGATCCTGAGAAAAGACTTTCCTCCAAGCATTCCTTACCCTTGAACCCGTTTGCTCAAATATTTGGTGGTTGCATCTTTTTTGATAGTGACTTTACAGTAACAAAATCTGTCAGAAAGTGGTGTGGTAGGGGTGCTGCTATTATTCAGCTACTTCAGTTTCAACACCTTCAGTTTAATGAATTGTTTACATTATTGCTCAGTTCCTTGGTTTGGTTTTCTTTTGTTCTTTTATTCTAACCTGGATCATTCTCTTTTCCTCCTCTCCCACATCCAACAGTAGAATAATTTCAAGGGAACTTTTATTTTCCACTGCTGTTAAAATTCCAAAACTATCAAGTCAGTCTTTCATTTCTGCAATTATGCATCCATGTGTGTGCCTGCATGCTTAAAAAAGATTTTATTCTGCTCACATGGGAATGAAAACCAGGCCTGATAAACAATAACTCATCTTGGATGACCCCCAACAGCTTAGTTGAAAAAAGAAAAACAAGTCTCAGAACTCTAGGGTTGCTTCTGCACAGATTAGGAAGGTAATTACGGCAAACCCATATGAGATAGCCCAGCATGTAATTCGAATCAGGTTGTATTCCACTCGCAAGAGGCTAGTGAGATTTGGGGTGCTGTGATGAGATTGAGGCTGAGCAGAAAATGGACAGTCATGAAAGGCAACTTGATGTTCACCAACATGGGAAAGTGGGCATATCCAAAGAGGGAGCAGCACTGTGGAAGGTGGACATCACAGGTCTGAAATGGCTCACTTGCGTGCTTGCCCTGCAGGGAAAACACAGGCAGCCCAAGCAGGTGTGAGCGTGCAAGGCAGAGACTGCTGCTCGTAGGCCTCTGGTGGTAGCGAGGCTGGCTTGAAACCTGTGAGGTTCCTTTGGAGTTCTTTGTGTTGGAGCTCTTCCCTTGGGATGGATGATGGCGTGCTTCATAAGCCACGCTCCTGAGGATGTGGTGCGGGGCTAGCAGGAAATCTTGGGACTCCTTCAGTCCCTGCCAGGAGAGGCTTCTTGCTCTGCCTAGAGTGGCCTTTCCAGGCAGTTCCTAAAAACTGGATCCATGATCCATCCTTCATTCTGGATCTAAACATGCCTCCTTCTCTTTTTGCCAGATGCCAAAGGCTCCATCAGGGAGATTATTCTTCCAAAAGGGCTTGATCTCGACCGCCCCAAGAGGACTCGAACTTCTTTCACCGCTGAACAACTTTATAGGCTTGAGATGGAATTCCAGAGGTGCCAATACGTGGTTGGACGGGAAAGAACTGAGCTGGCCAGGCAGCTCAATCTCTCAGAAACTCAGGTACTAAAGACACAAATGCATAGGTGGCAAAAGAAGGTTTTTCTCCCCAATACACACAAGTCCTGTTGCCCTAGGAAGCAGTAGAGTAGCATAGCTTACCAAGTTGATTCCTCCCAGATGTTTTAAGACTACTGCTGCCCCAATTCCCAGTCAGTTTGCTAACTGGCATTTCTGACAATTGTATTACCATTACCTCTAAAGGACATCATTTTGGGAAGGCTGGGCTCCAGCTCTACCCTTGAACAGGAGAGTTCTCTTTCTGTAGAGATGAGGGGTTTCTCACTGACTGCCAGGCCTGCAGGGCTGTAGCTAACACTTGGGGTAGCTTCCCGCATGGATGTGATCAATGCTGAGGACCAATTTTCCTTTTTTTTTTTTGCAGCTAAACACCACCCAGAGATGACCAAGCCATAGAACCCTAAACTTAGGGCACAAAGCAAAATTATGCTCTTTTCATGCTTTTGCAAGTTCCCTCTTTTCAAAGAGGCAGTATTTCGATTTGATCGATATCTAAATACCTGGAAGGAGTGGAAGCTGTTGGTTTCAGTAGGGTGTGAATTGCCTCCTTAAAAGCCAGAGGCTAAGATCCCAAGAAATAAATGGGCTCAGGCTATAAGACTTGTTTCTAAGTCTACAAATCATTCATAGACTCTGTAAAAATTTAATCTGAAAAATTAATTAGACTGTAGGATAATGTTTGAGAACTACATAACCAGTCCTGTGTATCTACGCACAAGAACCTTTGAAGAAACTCCCTTCCCACAAACACATGCGAACAGATCTGCACCCCACAATCAGGTAGTGCTAAAGCAAGGGCTTCTGGAAGAGAATCTTGGAGTGGAAAACCACAGAAGCAGCGAGGATCTCATCTCAACAGTATAAGTCCAGATCCCAGGGAAAAAAAAGTAAAATTTCAAAACAGAATCAGAAAACATTCAAATATTGCTTAGCGAATCCATAGCTTATGGGAAAAGCAGAGTCTTTCTGGGAAGTGGAGTGCGACACAAATATTATTTTTATTTTCCTATAGTAAATAAGGCTTTTCCCTCTATGAATTTAGGTCTACAGTTTAAAAGCTAGAAAGACAATGTGTTCCCTGGGCTTCCACCAGGTGACAATAATACAGAATTTATTTGCTATCAGTCAGCGCTTACAGAGACCTTGCTGTTGTAGTGGGTTAAAGCAATTCAGCATTTTGTGGTTCTAAAAATACTGAATGGTATGCTTGTTTCTTCAGATGTAAATTGACTTCAGTGGAGTTTCTCCCCTGATAAATTTGTGTGTATCCAAGTGCCACTGTTTACAATGGGACGTTCAAGTGTTTATCCTGAAGACTGTTGAAATTAAAATAAATGGAGGGAGTAATAATTTATTTTGACTCTGGAAAAGAATCCAGGCCATACAGGTCTCTTTGCAGATCTTTGCTGAACTCGTTCCCCTTCTTTTTTGTTTCCCTGGTTTTGGTAGTTTGGCCAAAAACTGTTTGGGTTGAGGAACGTATTTTTAAGATACACAAAAAGAAAAGAAAGGGAGAAAGTGCAGGTAACTGCTCATGTCTTTGCATAGTTTAATATGTAATATAATACTAATAATTTTTGTGTAAAAATGAATAGAACTGTAATCTGTAATCTGATCATGCATATCTAGACATACTTTATGTAGATATGGTTTAGTTTCAGGTGGAAGCACCTGTGTGACTTTCTTTGGACTGGGAAATCAACAGGATTGGGGCTGTTTAATCTTGGATGAGATTCCTCCCTGGAATTCTGGGTTGTTGGCTAGACTGGGAAGTGGGAAAATACCCCAGAAGGAGATAATGGCAAACCACTTCGGCACTGCTCCCCGAAATGAAGATGTTTCATGAAGTCATCAGAAATTGAGCTCCATTTGAAGGAGACTTTACCTCTTTTAAATGGGCATCTGAGTACTTTCCTTTCCCCTTTCTGCAAAATATGGTAAAAAAGAAATAGAACCAAAAGCTACTTGGTAATATATAAATAAATGCAGGGGTCAGATGGACAGCAAAAGGCTATTTTTTTTTCATCCTTCTGAAAATGTTTCGGCATGGCTCCAGAACTGACCATGTTCCCCTTCCCATTTCTTAAACCAATTTTGCCTGATGAAGATTTGTTGATACCGAATACTAACAGGGATTTCACTGAACTTCCTTTGGCCTCATAAAGTTACTGTCTCTATGGATTTTGTTTTCCTCACAGCCATGCTATTAGTGTTTATACTGTATCACTTGACTTGTATTTTCTGAAACTCTCAAGAATGAGCAGTCCCTTCCATCTGCTCTCAGAGGCACAACAGCAAATACCCGCTCTCTCACATCAAGGTGCAGAATCCCTCAGTCTGGCCAAATTCTTTTGGCATTTACAGGAGTAATTCCTCCAAGTACCTCTTCCTAGTGAAAAATACAACCGTGTTAAATATCAAGGTCTTTGTTGCTCTTTCTGGACACCAGATTAGCTGTTGGAGGCAATAGACAGAGTGCCTGCCAGTAGGGCCGGCTCTGACAATGAGATCAGCCCCAAATGGGCCTGTGCTGGTTTTGAAAGCCAAGTTCTTTCTTTCATTCAGTCCTAGAACCTGAAAAATAGGCCTGGGGAGAATCTGAAAGGCGGGGCCATTGTGTGTGTGTGTGTGCGCGCGCGCACGGGTGTCCATGTGCATGTTGCACAAGAGGCAAAGAGACATCTATTCCCTTCCTGCCCAGGAAGGAAATACTGTCTGAAAGCTGCACTTTGCTGGATAAAGAGTTGGTGGGAAAGATAATAGGAAAGGGCAGGGCTGTGTGTGTAATTTTATGATTTAAATGAAATGCTTTGAGAAATTTGAAAACATCGTTAAGAAGTCAAAACCTGAAATAGGTGGTCGAATTCAAAAAGAGAAACAGATACATTAGTGGAAAATATTGTATTATCTGTACTTGATGCTTTTAAATATATTATTTAAGGAAATAATATATTTGTAGTACGTTTTACAATACAGGAGAACAGGAAGTACTAGAGTGGGATGAAATGTAGGTGTGGTTTTGTTATTTCTGCTTGAAACGTCCCATCAAAGGGAGGGAGGGAAGGAAGGACGGACGGACGGAGGGACGCAAAAAGGCTAAGTGTGTAAGGATTGGTTTCGTATTTCTTGAAAAGATGTACTGCAAGGAACCTCTCTGACAAGCTAATTAGCATTTCTTTGCCTGTCAGATTTAGCGGGTTGCTACGGCGAACGAAAGAGCCTCTGCAGCCGAAGCGTGGCCTGTCATAGGAATCAAAGCGAAAGATACCTGGGAAGGGTCAGAAAGGGGTTTAGGTAGCTGGCGAGATGGGATCGGTCAGGCCCGCGTCGAGGCGGTTGAGCGCCACGCAATCTGTTGCTCCCCTGCCTTTCGCGGAAGAACCCAAGCCAGCCAAAATCTTCCAGGAGCTGCTGCCGCAGACGAGACACGTGGGAGAAAAATGCCAAGTTTAGGAGCGCCTAAACAACAACAAAATACTACCTGGTATCGGGGATCTAAGAGGCCAATGCTTAGATCCATCCTCTGTTGCCCGGTTTCCATTAATTCGTGGGGGTTTCATCCCCCCACAAACTTCGTTACTGAAAAACTCCTGGTTGAGGGGATCCAGTCAGTCTTAAACGAGGGCCTGGAAGGCGAGACGCGGTTGTTGCGCTTACAGAAGCTTCGCAGCCGGCGGCTTCCTCCACTTAACTCTTTTTCATCTTATTTTGTGAAAGAGATCCCACCCCCGCTCCCCAGTACACGCACATACATGCACATGCCGAGGCGTTTATTGGGCACTTCATGCGGCTTCTGAAATAAACCCCTGCCCAAAGCGGCTCAAGTCCACAATACACGCGTGTCTTCAAGGCGCCGAAGGAGAAGCCTTTGTGGTTTCCGCAGTTCTCTGCCACTCTAGTACAGCAGCTCTTTCCAGAGCGCAGCGCTGCTTCGTGATCCTTATCGAAATGAGCAGACTTGCACGCTCGCTCTTCCATTTGCTCTCTGACATCCACGCGCTCCCAGCCGGCTGCACGCGCGCGCGCGCACAGATTTCTGCCTCGAGCCGCTTGACTCCCACAGGGAAATCTCCGTCTCCCCAGCCGGCCGCTGCCCTCCTGGGGAGGCCTGTGGAAAGAGGCCGAGCGCGGCGATAGGAGGGACAACTGCGGCCTTTCCTCTCCTGCTCCGGGCCTAAGAAGGCCAAGGCCTTTGCTAGGCCCCGCTAGCTGACGCTGACTCTGTGCTTCTGCCTTTTTCCCTCGCCTCCTTGCAGGTCAAAGTCTGGTTCCA